TGCGCGGGGGTGAGGCGGTGGGAGTGGAGAAGGGGCCAGGGGAGAGAGAGGGATGAAAGGTGTTTGGGGGCGGAGAGTAAGGAAAAGGGTTGGGACACCGTGGTGCCACTCAACCTTTGATACGCGGTGGCTTCCTTCCAGAAGCTGCTGTGGCGGTTCGGTGCTGTGCGGCTAGGTCTCCCTTGCTGATCTGAGGTAGAAGCAGGTGGGCCCCCAGGGTGAGAAGTCCCACGCAGGAACTTAACACAAATACTGGTTTATTTCACGTCTATTTGGGCAGGGTGAAAAAAGGAGGTGAGTGTCTCTGATAAATCGTTGGTAAATACACAACTGTGGATTGAAGATACTTGAATCGGCCCAAGCAGGTAGCTACTCAGGATAGGTAAAGGTTGTATGGGGTTGTGAGGTGGCAAGATTGTTTTATGGTGTGTGGAAGGACTGGGGAGTTCTGCTTTGTATACTGATTTTCAGCACAAAGCAAAGTGCCTAGTGAGATAAAACATATGTATATGTTACAGTTAAAAGTGCTTTGTTTGGCAGCGCAATTGGAAATGTGCACAGCCAGATGCTATACCAGTATTTTCCTCCTTACATCATGTTTTCAACAGCAACGGTGATTGAAAAGCAGAATGAGTTTTGAAAAATTTCTCTCATTTGAGCGTAATTTTAATGAAAAAGCTTTTGATTTCCCAATTAATAATTTAAAGAGGCTTTGTTTTTTGAGAAACTTGCAAGGTCTAAAAATCTTCATACTATATAAAGAAACATCAACCTCAGAGAAAGATGGTTATTAAGAGGCAGTGTTACTTACTTAGTAGCTTAGTGTGATCACATTGGTATCTCCATGCAATATGTGGTTTAAAAAAAACATATTTTCATTGCCGTGGACAACAGAAATAGGAAGCTCAAGGTGTGTGAGACAGCTGTTAATGTTGGGGGGACTTCACAGTACTAGAAATCCAAAAGATCTTTACTGGAGTTCTGAGTTTCAGTGTGTGAACTTAATTTTTAGATTTATCTTTGCCTTGGCTTGTGGAAAACTTACTGATATTTCTGGCTGTGTTGAATTGCTTCTAGGATGAGTAGTTTATCCACTGCTGAGTCACGTCTTGCTCAGTTTGGAAAACAGGGTACTTGCAACTGATTTTTTTTTCCAGTGTTCTTTCCATCTTCCAAGTAATCCTGTTATTTTTGGAAGGATTTTTAGAAGTATATGTCACATGACGCAGCTTGAAATGCTTCATACCTGTTGCTATCAAAGATAATAAGAAATATTTCAGCAAGGATTCAGTAGCTTCCTATTTCCTGTTGTATTTGTGTATTTATATTGTGGCTAAAGTGCAAGGAAAAAATATTTCATAGCTCATGCATTTAATGATTACAACTGTGCTCTTCTAAATAGCTATTTTACTCCTTGAATATTTATAAAAATACACAGAATACAGAAAAATTGGCATTACTAAAGTAATTTAGTATTGTTTATTTAGAACGGTAGTGTATTTGTAAAACACACAAAAAATATTTACAAATAAAGAAACTTCTTCAGTTATGTTACAGGATGCAGAGGCATAGTGGCTATAAATAAAGATCATTCAGAACATGAAAGTTGCCTGGGATTTTTAACAATGGCGTGTGTGTGTGTATATTTGTCTCCCTAGTGTGGGCTGGTTTGTGGAATCAAATTGTTCTTTATGGCTTATCATTTCTGTGTTTTGTAAAATAGAGTATCACCATAGCTTTTGGGGAACTCAGTACTGGATATGGCAAAATACATATTAAATACTATGGAAGCTGAGCAGGCAGGCACTTGAAGAAAGTGCATCATTTACTTCTTTGTTTTTTCAGCAGAATCAAATATGTTTCCACTAGCCCCAGCGTAGTTTTTTACCCTGTTCTTAAAAACACCACTGATGGGTAATCCTGTGGATTACCTCAAAGCTAAAACAGTTTGACTGCTTGAATATCTTTACAGGTGGAGATTCCATGACAGGTGAATGTAAGAATGAGAGAAATGATTTTTCTTCAGAGTATTGAGGGAAAGGTTATGTAACAAATACAACATACTGTTTCAGTAGGAAGAAAATTTCATTATGGCGCCATCGGGAAGGAAGCATGGAGGAAAAGCTGGTAAACCAGCACAGGAAGATAAAGCTCTACCTGCCTATGGTTTTCAGGAGGAAGGAAAAGAGCTGAGTGGATCAGAGGAAAATATTACGGAAGGTGCTTATGTGATTTTTTTGTTTGTTTGTTTGTTTTTGTTGGGTTTTTTTTTAGTTTATAGTATTTCTGACTAGAAATATAAATGAAGACTTTTAATGTTAGCTAGTGTCTGAATAAGAATGGTTCATAATGCTTGTGACAGTTTCTGTTGTATAATTTTGATTGGCGAGAAGAGCACAGAACAGAATAGCTCTGTTAAGTGCACTATTATGTCTGAGACTTACAGATGGAGTCTTTCATAGAGCAGGATTTTGTTACCTGATTTTGTTACCTTATTTTACTGCTATATCCTTCCCTCAGCTGGCTGCATATGACATTGTAAGGTCATGACAGAATAGAAGAGCTCTGCTTGCTTGTAGGGAGAACTGAGCTGAGTAGGGTGGTTGGAGCCTGAGTGCTGGCAGGGTTAAGAGCACTTCAGGAAGCATCTGAATGGAAAAGAAAGAGGAAGAAGCAGAGAAAGCTGAGGAAAAAAGAAGTCGGCCAATGGATTCTTGTTTAATTTCAATGGAGTGCCATAAAAAAGTGGAATTTGCTTAAAAATGCAGTTATCATTAATCACATGATAGTTTTTTATAAAGTTTGATGTAATTTCATTTCTGGATTTTTTTCTTTCAGCAGTTATGTCTGGGTTTGCTTCTCTTAATTTCTCCCCTTCTTCATTTGTTCAGATTCAAATTTCCCACCGCCACCTTGTTAATAGAAACGTGACAGCCAAGGATTTTTATTTTTTTGGAAAGAATATGAGTATCTATTTCTAATTTTGCTCTTTTAGAGGTCAGAGTGCACAATTTCAGTATGTATTTTACAGTAAAAAATTCTTGCAGATTGGGCCTTTTCAATTTTTAGATCATTTTTACCTTCCTGATTATTGTTATATATTGGGAGTTGGGAGTAATTGTGTAGTAGTGGACAAAGAAACTGGTCGAGGTTTGTCTGGAGAAAATCAAGGCAGTGCCAGCTCAGATCTAGCCTTGACAAATAATCCACCACCATCTGTCAACTCCAGAACCAATATTTTAGGAACTGCATGTGTCCCCAGAGACGTACGAGACATGTTCAGAGAAGTGGCGTTACAGAAAAGTAATTCTGCTTCTAATCACTCAGGTCACACCCACAAAATATTTTTTTTTAATCTTTTTTGAAATTTGTGTTAAGGTGAAACACCAGTAATGGACAAGCATGGAAAGAAAAGACCTTTGATGACTACTCATGTGGTTCCAGATGATGTAGGGTAAGGTTAGGATTTTTTTCCTTTAAATTATTTTTTCTTTCCAAAATAAGCGAGTACCAAACAGATACCAATTTCAGTTATTCACTATGCTTGTTTTACCTTTTCGTTTTTTTTTTTCATTTGATTCAAAAATCAGATGTAAGATATTACAGTAGTTATAGGTAAAAAAAAAGAGTAACGTTTTAAAAGTAGTAATTCTGCAGTTTATTTGTAGATACTTATGAATATGCATAAAAACCTGAAATATTTGTGACTTCTTCATCTTTTCAAAGAAATGAGAACTTTATTTACAGTATTTTAGTTGGTAATTTCATTAATTTCTTTCCCTCTGGTCTTAGTTCCTTAAAAATACTAGCAGTACTTTAAATGATCCAGCTATTGCATGAAATAAAAATTCTTAAAAATCTTAAGAAAATCAATATTTATGAACAGTGTAAATGTAATTAAATTTTTTTTTTTTTTTTTTTTACTTTTCAAAAAAGAAAGTGGTAACCTCCGGAGTAGATGATACAAAACCAAGATAAACATTTTCTTTACTCTCCATGTTCTTTTTTGGACTTGTCAACCATTGTACCAGTGTTATATACACTGGTCTTAAAAAAGAGACTTCTCACAGGAGGAGGACTGTAATTTTTTTTATCTTGTAGAACAGCAGCAGCTTTGTCGCCTATAAGTAATAGCCACAGGAATAAAATTAGTTTTAAGTCTATACAACAGGTCTTATTTTAAAGTCAGAAAATGGGCAAATAATTTTAAATCCTGTTTTGTAGGGGTGAAGTACAGAATATGCTAGAAAGATTTGGAGGTAAGTATGTTTACATTCTAATAAATGAACAAGCAATTAATGTTTAAGTTGCAGAATTGGCAGTCATTCCATACTGTAAAATAACTTTGGAGACTTACATAAAATGACCAGTCTTTGTAGCATTTTTCAGCATTTCTGAAAAAAAGTCAGCTTTCAGAAAAAAAGTCAGCTTTCAGAAAAAAAGTTATACCTAATTAGAGCAAAGGGAAAGAAGGGTATAACTGTATAAAGTGAGATGTAAGTATTAGTGTAGGTAATTATGAAGGAAAAAGGGAAAGATGCATGAGTGCTTTTGATTATCAATTCAGATTTTAAGAGGTAGTAATGACATTGTAGAGAAAAGAGACAATCTGAGTTAGCTGTTGTTCTTACACAAGTTATGATAGAGAGACTGGGGAAGTGCAAGATTTGATTGAGAAATTGGGGGCATGTCAATGTTAATACAAGCAGCTAAATAGAACACAGTTCTAATTCTAGACAAGGAATTTTGGAAGTAGATTGTAGCTGTGATACAGAATGCTCTAGAGAGTAGTCTGTACTCTACACCTTGAGAAATTTAGAGAACAGGGAATTGGTGGAAAAGATAATTTCAGCAGTCAGGAAGGAGAGTACAAGTTTCTAGAAGAGCTAGAGAACGAGGGTAAGTAATGCTAGTCATCCAGGGAAGAGAGATTTATGCATGTCATCTAGCTGGATTTAGTTTAGTCATAACTGGATCCTTGGCTTTACTTAGAGTTAAATTTCCAGCTGAATTCTAGATAGCTGACAGGTTAGAGAAAAAAGACATTTCACTTGTAAAGAATGTATAATACACATCACAGTGTAACAAAGCATCAAAAAGCCATGGAAGGAAGGGAAACCATCTTAATGCCTGTATCACATAACTCAATAGCTGATTAATAATTCCATTGTTTGTCGAAGAAGAAGCTGTACATGGTTATTATTTGCATGGAAATCTTAAAGTCAAGGAGGTGTTCAAGGAATTCCTTAATCCATTAATTAATCCATGAGCTGCTGTTAAGTACATACTCAAATTGTAAATCTAGCAGGCTAGATAGGAGGAGGATTTCAGTGTTAAAAAGCTGGGATTGCTTGTTATTGAAGACTCAAAAACAGGATGGAAGGAAGGAAAATGAATGGATCAGAAAGAGGATGCTGTCAGCTCCAAAATAATAGGGTTTACATTAGCAGGGGCGGGTGCCTCAGTAAATTAGAGAGAGATTTGACAGATGTTTCCTGGAATCTACAGTGAGAAGGAAAAGAAATTGCTGTATTAACCTCAAGGTGTGATTTGTTTGTTAAATCTGCAGATGTAAATTAAACCGAAACAAACATACTAATTTATATTAACCTGAATACTTCTTAAAAAAGTGTTAAGTATCTCCAATTTATAAGCAATAGTTTGTCATTCATTCACTTGGTGTGTTCACAGCAATAGTCATCACATACTGCCTTTAATTCTAAAATCAAAGTAATTTGAGTATTACTCTGAAACAAGCGTGGTTTTTCTAGGAAAAAAAAAAAGAATATTAAAGTGTCAGCATAACTAAATTCCTTGAAGGTCTGGAAAACCAAGCTGGCACTGCAGTCATGCAGCAAAACTAATGAGGATTTTGATGGTGCTACTGAAACATCATTAGGTGCTAGAGAAAAGTGTGAGATGTCTGTATGGGGTCAGGTTTGTGGAAGGTCTCTCTCCCTTTGAATGGAGAATTTACGTGTAGACTGTGAGGTGTCCAAATACAACGTTTGAAGATAAGCAGTGTGAGCAGATGGGATAGTGCTTCTAGTGTTCCGTGTGCTTCTTCTATGGATGGTTTATTAGAAGGGCATGTTGGACCATAGTACTCAGGAGGGGAACACATGGGAACTGTGTGTAAGGAACTGATTTAAATATATGTCATGGAAGTACTGCCCCAACCCTGAGCTCAGGCTGATGGACAGTTTCACTTCGCTGTCTATGTCTGCTCAGAGCCAGTCTGACACCGTTCCCACTGTGCTGCCCAGAGAGGGAAAGAAGCTCAAGACAAGTCCCATCACGGTAGGTCTTGTTTGGTCTGGCCCCTGAGAGAGGTGGGGCTTGAAGCAGATGCTGGAGTAGTTGGTAGGGCTGGGCAACAAGCAGTTGCACCTGCAGTGGCCAGGTGTTGGTTCAGGTGCATGGGGGGCTCAGGGAAGCTGCACTCACACCAGTGCCCACAGCAGGTTAAGGGACATCAGACACAACAGCCAGGAGGCTGGACCACATGAGCTTCATCTCAGTAGAACATGCCTCATTTGCTTCTCCGATGCATTAGCTCATCAGCATTTTTATAAAAGGTACAATGTATCTCACTGTGCCTGATTTCTAAATATTCTTTGATTTTTAGCTGACATTAACAAGGCTCTTTTAGCGAAGAGGAAGAGATTAGAAATGTATACAAAAGCCTCACTCAAAACCAGTCACCAGAAGATAGAACATATTTGGAAAACACAGCAAGAGGAAAGGTAACATTTACCCTTGTTTTTCAGACCTGTGAAATCACATTCCCTTTTGTGACACATTATAGACAGCTGGCCCCTCTTCTGGCAGTTAAGTAGCAAGTAGTGTATCTACTAGCTAAATATCTGCTCAGGTCCTCTGTTTTTGCTGCCTCCAGTTGTCTGCTTGGTCAAATTGACAGTAATAGTTTAGCATAGTGCTTTCTCTTTTGAATGGAGAAACTTAAGAATTGGCGTTTGGAGAGTGAGGTACCTTAAAGAGCTGGTTTTACTTTTGCCCTGTCTTTATAGAATATGATCCTTGATGTTATTTTTTGTCTTTTAAAACAGTGTTTTTATTTTTTCCACTTCAGTTGGAATTTCCTGTTTCTACATGAAAACTGGAAAAAGTTCAGTACAATTTGATACCACTCTGGTTAAGAAAGAAAATAATTTTCATTTTCACCCTGTAATTTTTTACCCTAAATAATATTCTTCTTGCCTTCTAAGGCACATTTAATTACTACATCTGGTACTACAGGCAGGGCAAACTGAAAAGTTATACAGCTGAAAACTGTAAGTCGGCAAAACTTGGAATCATAGAATCATTTAGGTTGGAAAAGACCGCCAAGACCATCAGGTCCAACCATCAACCTAACTCTGCCAAGTCCATGGCTAAACTGTGTCTCTAAGGAGCATATCTGCATGGCTTGTAAACATGTCCAGGGATGGCAATTCAATCACTTCCCTGGGCAGCCTGTTCCATGGCTTGACAATCCTTTCTGTGAAAAACTTTTTCCCAGTATCCAGTGTAAAACCTCCCCTGGCACAACTTGAGGCCATATCTTCTTGTCCTGTCACTTTCTACTTGGGAGAAGAGACTGGCACCCACCTCACTACATCATCTTTTCAGGCAGTTGTAGAGAGCAAGAAGGTCTCCCCTGAGGTTCCTTTTTCTCCAAGCTAAACAACCCCAGTTCCCTTGGCTGCTTTTCATAAGGCTTGTTCTCTAGGCCCTTCACCAGCTTCATTGCCCTCCTTTGGACTAGCTCCAGCACCTCAGCATCTTGAGGTGTGGCTTCATCAGTGCCGAGTGCAGGGGAATGATTCTTTCCCTCCTCCAGCTGGCCACACTGTTTCTGATACAAGCCAGGATGCCATTGGCCGCCTTGGCCACCTGAGCACATCTAATATTTAGAGAGCTGTCAATCAGTGTCCATAGGTCCCTTTCTGCCACTTTGCAGCCACTTGTAACTGTCTTGGTGTTTTTAGATATGTATCATAGAATCATAGAGTGGCTTAAGGTTGGAAGGGACTCTAAAGATCATCTAATCCCACCCCCCTGCCACGGGCAGGGTTACCTCTTAACTGGACCAGGCTCCTCAAGGCCTCGTCCAGCCTGGCCTTGAACACCTGCAGGGAGGGGGCATCCCCAGCCTCTCTGGGCAATCTATTCCAGAGTCTCACCACACTCTTACTGAAGAACTTCCTAAGATCTAACCTAAACCTACTCTCCTTCTGTTTAAAGCCATTTCCCCTTGTCCTGTCGCTGGACACTCTTGTGAAAAGTCCCTCTCCAGCCTTCCTGTAGGTTCCCTTCAGGTATTGGGTGGCAGTTATAAAGTCCCCCTGGAGTCTTCTCTTCTCCAGGCTGAACAGTCCCAGTGCCCTCAGCCTGTCCTCATAGCAGAGATGCTCCAGCCCCTGGATGGTCTTTCAGACCCTCCTCTGGACTCGTTCCAACAGATCTATGTCCCTTTTACGGTGGGGACACCAGAACCGGACGCGGTATCCGAGGTGGGGTCTCCCCAGAGCAGAGTCACACCTCTCTTGATGCACCCCTGGGTACAGCTGGCCTTGTGAGCTGCATGAGTGCACTGCTGGCTCATGTTGAGAAAAAAAAAAAAAACAAACAACATATATATTTTATATATATATTAAAAGTATGTATATTTTAAACTTGCATCGACAACATTTAAGTTTATGTACAGAAACTCAAATATGTACTAATGAATGAGCTAATAATTTTTTCATTATAAATGCCGTGTGTAAAAGCCAGGATCTGTAGTTGGGTTAGAAAATCATAGCAAATCTCAGAAACCTTGACACCGTTAGGAACAAAAGTTGCTTTATTTTTATTTTAACCTGAGTCTTGTATATGAGTGCCGTCTCCTTAGGTGTAGTATGTGATCCACATTCACTCAGAAAGGGGGTGTGTGCATGTACGTACGTGTGTTCTGTTTTTCACAGCGTACAGTGTTCATTTAGGGCCAGATGCCAAACCAGCCTGTTTCTTTATCTATGCCAGCTCCTTTTATTCTGCTGCATGTGTGTTGAACCTTAGCTTTCCTTGTCATTCTTTGTAGCATCTGTCACACTTAATGCTAGTGTCTGTTTATAGGCAGAAGCTCAACCATGAGTTCTCCCAGCAGTTCCTGACTTTGTTTCAGCAATGGGATGTAGATGTGCAGAAAGCAGAGGAGCAGGAAGAAAAACTGTCGGTGGGTTTCCAGCACAGCATGAGTTTCATGGTATTTTCACAGGAAGGGAATATTGTTGTTCAGACACTCAAGAAATGTAAAAACACTTTATGTAGTTTAACCACACATAGGATTGTTTTCCTTTTGATTTAGAGCCACCAAATACGTTTGGGTGTTTTGGTTTGGTTTTGTTTTTTTTTTTTAAACTGTAGATGTTTAAGTTTTGGAATGCATTTTAAAGTGATGAGGGGTGCATTTATAAATGGCAATGAAGTGATGCCCTAAGCCAGCATATGGCTTGAGAAAAGCCAAGACCATTTATGGAGAACAAAGATGTGTGCTGTTGCTCTGCATCCATAGTCTTTGCATTTAGGGAACAAAGAGTAGAGGAAAGTAGTTGTTTTTTAGCATCCATTGCATAAAAATATGCCTGCATATAATATATGTATGAGAACTTGACCACTGAAAGGGCATAGGGGCTACACAATGAAACATAATCACACGATGTTGCTGCATTTGTATTCTCCACACATTTGGAAGTTTTGCTTTTCCCTACCCAGCACATTTCTCTTTGGCACCCTTGAGGACTGCACGGGACAGCAATCCTTATAGGATCCCATAGGGATAGCTCAGGTTGGAGGGACCTCGGGAGGTGACTCAGGGCTAAATCCACTCTCCAGTCATTCTTTCATTAGAAAGAACAAGGATAACTCTCCAGGCAGAGGTCTATGTTACATGACCCAGATTTTCTGATTCTGGTAAACGAAAGTAGCGTTGCTGCCCAAACACTTTTGGTTAACTAATGCATTTATATTTTTCTTTTGCTTCTGCTTCAGAATCTGTTTCGCCAGCAGCAAAAAGTTTTTCAACAGGCAAGAATAGTTCAAAGTCAGAGACTGAAAACGGTTAAGAAACTCTATGAGCAATTCTTGAAGGTACAGTAGATTTTTTTCTTGGAATGCAGCTGATCCTTATATCACTTAAGAAACCTGTATTAATTCAGCGTTTTTGAAGTACAGATCTTCAAGATTCATGTATGGAAAACAGCAGCCTTGCATGAATATCCATGTTAGTATCTTTCCCTTATTTAAGCACATGCCTTGTTCTCTCTGTACACATATGCACATTGTATCTAGCAGTTAAATATTGTTTTCACAGGGATCTGATTGGCTCATCTCTTTCAAATATTTAGCCATAACCCTCAAAGCACACTTTCTAAACAGAATATGGTTTCGTACCAATTTAAAGGTTATATAGGTCAGTTAAACCATCAGGATTTTGTCTTAATTATTCTCTTAGATTTTCATCATCTATTAAAAATACATCTTAGGCAGCAATTTCCAGCTTTTATTGCTGCCAGCAGGTGCATCCCCCAGAATGAGAATTAGGTAATAATTTTTTTTTGTCCTTAACCTTTCTAGCTATCGCTGCTTCATGTAACCAAAGTAACCCCTAAAGAAAACAAATTATAATTCCCTTAAAATTGACCAGTTAGAACTCCCTTCATCTCTTCAAAAGCAACATCCATCAGAAAGGGTTTTCCTTTCTATAACCTGGTAGCAAAGGTGAGTATTCACCTAAATGTCAACAGGAAGAATCTGATGGCAATAATGATTTCTGGTGAAAACAGGCCCAGCTGGATGCTTATGTCATCAGTCCTGTGTAACTGCCTTCTTGCTTTGTGCATAATTTTTGTATTTGCTGGGAGTCCCTACAAACACCTTTTTTTTTCCTTCACAGTATTTACAGAGCTAATGTATTTTAAACACATGATTCATACTGATCAACTGTGGTGTGTTTTGTTTTTTAACAATGTAGCTAACATACTAGACTGCAAACAAATAATTATGGGTACAACTACTGAATTTTTTTACTTTCTGGTAAAAAAAAGTTTTTCCCTGTCATTTTACACTAGAGAAACAAAATACTTTTCTCCCAGAATATCCTTCCCTCATTATTTTTCTAAGCTATTAAAAAATGAAACTGTGAGAAAAATGAAAGTACCTGAACAGTTGGGTTTGTAATGAATGCAGAGGCACAATACCACAGGATCGCCGAAGGGCTGGGGTTGGAAGGGACCTGTGGAGGTTGTCTGGTACAGCAGGGCTACCTGGAGTCAGTTGCCCAGGACTTAACATCCAGATGGCTTTTGAGTATCTCCAAGGATGGAGACTCCACAGCCTTTCTGGGCAGCCAGCACTCAGTCACCCTCACAGTAAAAAAAGTGTCTCCTGCTGTTCAGAGGGAACCTCCTGTGTTTTCAATTTGTGCCCATTGCCTCTGGCCCTGTCACAGGGCATCTCAAGATCCTGGCTCAGTCTTCTTTGCACCCTCCTGCCCTCAGATATTTATGTGTATAGAGAAGATCCCCCCTGAGCTTTCTCTTCTCCAGGCTGAACAGGCCCAGCTGAGAAGAGCCTTCCTCTGTGTTCTTTGTTGTCCTCCCTTCAGATATTTACATACATGGATGAGATACTCTTCCTTAGGTTAAACAGTCCCAGCTCTCTGAGCCTTTGCTCATAAAAGAGATGCTTCAGACCCTTAATCACCTTTGTAGCCCTTCACTAGACTCCATCCAGGATGTCCGCATGTCCCTTGCACTGAGGGGCCTCAAACTGGACACAGCATTGCAGGTGTGGCCTCACCAGCACTGAGTGGAGAGGAGAGATCATCACCCTGCTGCAGCACTTCTCCTAATGCAGCCTAGGAGACCTGTAGCCACCTCTGCTCCAAGGGCACACTGATGGCTCATGGTCAACTTGGGTGTCCACCAGGACCCCTATATCCTCTCCTGCCAAGCTGCTTTCCAGCTGTGTGGCCCCCTGAATATACTGGTACATGAGGCAGCTTGAAGTCTGTCAGCTTCTGACAAACCTTAATTGCTGTTCAAGTCATTTCATAATTGGTCCCTTTTTGAAATTTCAGTTAGTTATGACACATTTGGATGTTCTTTTCAAGTCCAGTATTATTTTTTTTAAGAAAATAAATCTGAAATAAAGCAACTCAAATTAGTTTAAGATAGTCAAAATTTACAGAGGATATTACAGCTATTATTAAAAGTTACAAAATGCAAAAGTTATCATCAAAGATGAAAAGCTGAACAGAAGGTCAAGTATTACTTTGATTTTTCTCCTCGAAGTTGATCAAAAGGTAGGAATCAAGCCTCAGATAAGCTTAACTAAATACAAAGAATGTGCATCTACACACATACAGAGTTGGGCATAACTGTGGACAGAAGGGAGGATAACCAGTGATCTTTACTTGGCTTAGGTGGGGAGAAGTGTGCCAAGAGAAGGAAACTTAAAAGAGTTTTACAGCCCTTCCCTCATTCTCCAAGGCTGTTATAATATTAAACCCCTGTCATTCCTGGCGTGCCTGTTCAATCTTCTCTCGTAGACTGAAATGCAGGATAACTAGCTGAGACCTCTCAGATGCTGAGTGGAGGACAGAGTTTCCTTCACACGGCCCATATTCTTTGAACAGGGATGCAGACTGGAGCACAAAGTCCTCTATGATTTGTCTGTCAAGTCTGTGATGAAACTCATCAATTATCAGTGACCACTGGGGCTGTAAAAGTTACGCTGTAGCCGGAAAAACGGTTTGTTTAAAATAACTTTTTGACATTGAACAGTTCTGAATTAAGGTTATGTTTAACTTCAGAGCATTGAAGAGCTGGAGAAGAACAATGAAAATCTTCTAGCTGGTGCACAAAGTGAACTTCGCAAAGAAATGGCCATGTTGCAGAAGAAGATTATGATGGACACCGTAAGTATCAGATCTGTGAAGAAGTTAGTTAAATGCAAAAATAGAATATTCTGTAAAAAAGTCATTTGGCATTCATTTCATTAGCTCAAAGCAATCATATTGGTATGGCATTTGTTCAGTATTATCTCCTTTTCTTGTGACAGCAACAGCAGGAGATGGCAACTGTTCGCAAGTCTCTTCAGTCCATGTTATTCTGATGGCTCAGTGGAGAAACAACTTGTACCTAAGCAACACGATACAAGTATAGGCATTAGCCGTAGAGAAGGATGTTACGATTAAAATGTTTTAAAGTTCCTATTAATTGATTCATCTTTTCATGGATTGTTCTAATCTTGTCGTAAGAATATATATTAATAAATGTATTACTTGGAGGGGATGGATGGACCCCAAACCATTCACTGTCTGTCCCGTTAATCTTCAACTACTTAATACTTGCTTTCAGTAGTATTGGACTGTGCGAATCGTTTCTCTTTTTGTAATGCCAAACTGTGACAATGACCAGAATTAATGAAAAATGTGTTACCCAAATCTGACATCACAACTTCAGGCTTTTAGGTAGAGGGTGCAAATGGAAGCATTTTTCACAAGCTGCAGACTTTAAGATTTTCACAGTTCCAAGATTTCATCTGCTGACACACCAGCAGTCACTGAAGTTCACAGGGTAAGACCTGGCTCACGTGCCACTGTTTAATGATGCGTTTTATGGTAAACTGCAGTAAGTTTTGTTAACTCTTTCGTTAGGCAGGGCAGTGTAAGATCCTCGCACTACTAAGAGATTTCTGAACTGCTATAATTTGTCCAAAAAGGTTTCTTTAGTTGAATGATGGGCTGAGTATCACAGCTTTAGATGACATCTGCTCAAGTAAGCATCATTAAGCATTGTGCATTTTGTGTATAGTATATGAGAGCTACGTATATAGCTCTTGTAGAACTACTGCTAGAAGAAAACTAGCTCATGTACTTAGTACAAGTTATTACAAGCCTTTAAAATGGAGTATTACTTTTGGCAATTCCAAATGACTGGCAATTTAGGGAGGCCTGAGTTCATAAGGATAAAGCATTTCTCTTTCATGTATCTCATTACAGTAAATTAGTATAAATTAAACAATCACCTAAGCTTGCATGGTTTGTTTTTACAGAAAACCATTACGCCTGAACATCCACTTTTTCCTAACAAATTTAATGTTTAGATTTAATACAGTAATAGGTAAAACAAAAAACATATACAAACCCACACACAAAAATGTGATGTTTTCATAACAATGGATTTCAAAACCAGTCCATATAGATGCTTCTTCTCAGCTTACTAGCATTTTTAATTCAGAATCAAGTCATGTGATGATGGTTCCCCAGCTCTGGGAAACAGCTTACTCCAGAAACTTCAGCTATTAGGCTGCAACTGAAGTTGAACAAGCAGCTGGCTGGGAACTCTTTTTGTTTGGTGTCTGCTAGGACTCCGAGAAGGATCAAACACACAAGTTACCTTGCTAGAACCTGTGAGGCAACAGGGGCCTCTGGTGGGTAGCAGGTAACTACACTTGTTTGTCACGGTGCTGCCAAGTCTCAGCCCTTTAAGGATGACCAGGTGATGCTATGAAATAGTTTTTCCTTCCTAGCTTCAAGACTAGGTTATTTGCTAGTATTGCCTCATGTTTCTGGTTTTATTTGTTAGTATTGCCTCACGTCTCTGGTTTTCTGACTGATTTCTGCATTAGTTTCCTATCAGCCACATACCTCAAGAATATCCTTAGAACTACTTCTGCCTTCTGATACATGACACATTTTTGAGCATTCCGAGGAACCAAATCTTCTCTCTAAAACAGCTGCCTGCCTTTTCATCAGGTGTGAAGTTTGTTTACAGTATTCAGACAAACTGAAATGGGCTCTGGCCTCTGTGCCCAGGGCCTAGGTTCAGGCTAAGTTTACATGTAAGATGCTGTGTCTTTCCCAGTCTCAAGCAGGAGCAGTAGAATTCATCCAGAATTGATACTAGTCACTTGGAGCACTGGTCCTTTGGCAGCAGCTGTTGAAGAGTTTTCCCCCAAGTGTATCAGGATATCCTTCTTAGGCAGGAGTGTGGCAGATAGCATTTTACTCTCCCCAAATTTAGCAGACAGTACACCACTTTAAAAGTTTCTCAAACATTTGAGTTAATGTGCAGCTAGGAAGCTGCAGTAGGAATATTTTTGGGAACAAACCATAGTGTTCTTTATTGGACAGTTCAGGAAGGACTTTATAAACTCACAGCTCAACTACAACTCAGCAGCCACAAGTGGTAACAGACACATTCAACAGCTGTTTACAAAAATCATATTCAACTAGTACCTTGTAAAATGAGCTTAAGCTTCCAGGGTTTGTGTACAAGTCACAATTTGCTCATACAGATAATAAGCTACTTTTATTCAGCTTTCTTTAATGGGAACAACAGCTCTTTAGCTAGGCACATGATGTTAGCCACTGGGTCTGTTCTTGGAGAAAGAGGAAGGGTAATAGCAGGCCTGACTTTCTCTTTTGGAGACCTTCACTATACATGAGGGTTTAATTAGGTGGAGTTTTGTTCAGATAAAGTACGGTGACAGCTACAAGACAAAGTAGACAGATTATAAAGTAGATGAACACAGTGATAGCAAACACCCTTCAGAGAATGATGTGTGCATGGGTCGCGTTGTCACAGTCATGTAAATTTATCAATGAACTCTGTCATTCACTCGTATAGCTTCACAGATAGATACAAATTAGGGTAGATGCCTCCAAGTACACAACTCCCTATAGTCTTGATAATGATGGGGTACAATGAGGCAAACCTTATTATGACCAAAAAACTAGAAACTGGCCTTGAAAGAAAATACAAGCTACATCTGTATTTATTAACAGTAGGTTATGTCCTTAGATACTAGAGAACGCATGAATCCTAAAGGCACTCATCAACATTATTGTGAAATAGAAGACAATTTCCTGAGCTGTGCCTCCTTCCCCCTACCGATCCCGCAGCCTGTTCTATAGAAATGCCAGAACAGAGGCCAACACGTAGTTTTACCTTGTGGGTGCCTCATGGGAACGGTCCTAAAAGTGCAGTACTGTAGTCACTGATACCTCTGACCACCACTTCACAGCAGTTCCAAGGCGGCTTCAGAAACTAATGCTAAAAGATTAGTCACTTGGCCTAAGGAAAAGTGAGATTGCTCTTTGTATTCTGGCTGGTAGCACCTTGGTTTGTAATCTACGTTGGCCAGACCAGAAGTACAGAATTAAGGTTACCTAACAGGACATGGCAAAAGTATCAAATGTGGCATTCATGGTGTGAAGTAACAGCTGCAATGTCTAGAACACAGGGGGAAATACATCCTGGTTCAAAAGAACTAATCACAATAGAATCGCAGGACTTCAGTAATTCTAACATCTGCTGGTGTCTGGGGTACAGTGAGCTTTCTCATAGCACTATTTGCTTGAAAGCCTTAATCTGTCTCCCTCCCCCCCCCAAAATAGAGGCTGCTTCATTCACCATTCCCCTGACTGCTTCTTCTCTTGACCTTGACCTATTTAATCAGTCGTTATGGTTTTGAACCTGTTCAGGAGCTTGATGAGATGAAATTCTGAAGACATGTATATGAAGATGAGCAGCAATCTGTAGGCATACACCAGTGGAATATCTCAGCATATCAAACAAGGATATGAACTTCAAAAGAACAAAACAGAACAAGTTAAAAAAGTTATATTTTAAAAAAATTGTCCCTACTATAAATTCATCTATATTTTAATCAATCTATCCAAATGACAAGTCAAGCAAGCATTTTAACATATAGAGTGGTCTACTTTAGGAAAAAAACCCACACAAACCCAAACAGCATTAAATACTTAGAAAGTCTGATAAGCAAAGGTTGTCAGCCTGCAGTTAGCAGGATAATGTTAAACAAATCACCTGAACTAAAGCATTAATTACAAGAGAGAGCTGTAAATTTACTTTCACATCTCTGTTCCAAGGCAAGTGAGCCAGTCAGCTCCCAAAAATAAATGTTTACATGGCATCCTGGCATGCCCTCTACAGTGACAGTTGAAATCTGAGCAAGTCAGAAATGGCAGAGCAGAACGACAGGGACAGTTCCAAATCCACTCCTTTAAGTACGCTCCAAATGAAAAGCATAAGGCAACATGCTTACCAGCGCTATCCATAGAACAATATATTCATCAATGAAACTGTCGAAGTACTGGTCCAAAAACAGAAGTCCTGGCCCGATAAATGCAGTCTCCTGAAGACAGATTTCACTTTTTGTCATGTGAGCCACCTAAGAGGGCAGGGAGGAAAAAACAACAAACCACACCACTGCAAGGTCAATATAACCACCAGAAAGTCTCCACCTTAGTCAGGGATGGGCTCGGCCTCCTTACCCAGCGACAGCAGGCTGCCTCCCATTCTCACAGAGAAATCAGCAGGCAAACCCAGCGCTTCACAAATACTTCAGGGCCTGCTGCTCCCTGACACCTTCCTTCCCAAGGACCAAGTAACCTCCTTCCAGGTGGTTCAGTCAATAAATAGCTCTTTAATCAGTGATTACATCTGTTTGGATCATCAGTTGGTTTGGGTTTTTTTAAGAAATTTAGAGATGTCCTTCACTCTTATTTTGCAGAATGTTACACCTATAGCAGTGCATTTTAGCTGTTTGCAGAGGTTCCCCACTCTGTTTTTTTGATGCTGCATTTGCAGGGCAGGAGTGAGCAAGTGTATGACTGAAAATGAATACTATTCACTTGCAATGTTGTTTACAAGTCTAACTTGAAAACATTGGCCTTACTTAGTCAAAAGCTAACTAGAAATTAGGCTTTTGCTTAAGTGACAAAACTTGTCTTCCATATTTACCATTCTTAAGAGACAACTTAAGGTCACCTTTAATTGAGAGGCAGAAGAAAGTTCTGTGTAAGAAGCTAGGGACCTAATAAAGGACACCAGGAAGCTCAAAAATGGCAGAAGAAAATGAGTCTAAGTGCCAAGTTTGCCATAAGAAATCAACCTGGCATTCCTTGCTCCTGGATACTTGGCAACGAGGATTAAAGTACCGACTGGTTCCAGTGAGCAAAGCGGTCTCTTAGCAGAGCATAAATCATGCTGAACAGCAGAATTCACAGAGAAGCCTGTGAGGGTTTCAGGCCAGACAAACCACACAGGCTTGCACACAGCTGGGAGCCGACAGAGGCCTCCACTCCAAGCCAGCTACGGATGCATCTGTCCTGCTAAGGGGATCTGTGGCAGGGAGCAGTTCCTGGCTCCCATCTGGCACGACGTGCAACACCTACACAGGGTTAGAGCCCACGGAGCAGCTCTGGCACAAACAAAACCTGCACGACACCTTGGCTCATGTCTCTACTGGCCCTCCCAGCTGGTCACACCAAGTTTTTACTGCAGTTTCCTCACTCTGGGGTGCCTGAAGGACAAGGCCTCCTGAAAGGGTATCACAAGAGTGTGAGAGCTAAACCCACAAAATCTTTTCCACACTACCTGCACAGATTTGTCCCTGGAGCAGCCTATCCTCAAAGCTGCACATAAAACATCAAGGGAAACATGGACACTTCTGAGCAAACCATGAGTGAGCTGACAAACACACAGTGATGGCTGCTGGTTATGAGGATTCAGGGATCCTCTGAATGAGCAAGGGAACCAAAGGGCTTAACACTCTTAACACTAGATGAACTGCCTCAAGTTCAGTCCTAAGGCTTGGTCTCCTTATCAGCATTGTCTCTCTTGAACCAAGTCAGTAGCTCACTAGGTGAACTCCTGTTTAGCAAGAAAGTCTGTAGAATAGCTCTTTTCCAGTGCTTGAAAAATGTCATGCCAGAAAAAAAAACACCACACTGAAGCAGTTGGCTGGATTACTGTTAGCAAATATGTATAGTAAAGCAGATTTTTTTTTTTCAATCCATTGATGAGGGTTTTAATTACAAAAAAAAGATAGACAAATCTATCTGTTCATTTTAATTATTAAACTATTTTAGATAATTAAATCAGAAGTCATAGCACTGTTAGCAAGGCTTGAGGGATCACACTTATGATGTTAAAGGCAGGCAGTATTTTGTTTGTAGGCATAAGTTAAAGCTGGAAGTTCTAACTAACACATGGAACAGGAAGTATGTGTTTGCATGTGCCATCTACAATGTCTCTGCAGGAGCCTGAGTCTAGTTCAGTGTCTGGGTCACAATGAAACTGGCACTACAGTCAGTGGCAGAGCAGACCAGGAGAACTTGCACAGTGCTCACGGATCCAGCAAGGGTTAGGCCAAGAGCCAGTTTAGTTTTAGGAGGTTTAGGACTGAAACAAGATTCCTTACCACCAGCTTCTGTGAGATTTTAGCATTGACTAATCCAAATGTCAAGACGTACAGGCAAGAATGCTTTTCAAACAGCTGAGTTGTAGACTTCTTATAGATCATAATGGCCAGTGTGATAAGTAGTCCAATGTGCAGGGCTGGTGAAAGAACACTCGTTCCCTGAAATACAAATTGACAGAAAATTCATCTCAGGCTTCACTCACACAGTAAGGTCTTTTACATACAGCAAATGCCATTAAACAAAACCTGTGTTGTCAAAGCTCAGGGAAGGTCTGTTAGCATTATGCCAATAACAGTAACAAATGTTCAATTTTTCAAGACAGTTCATTGCAACAGCAGACATCCAGTAACAGGCAGAGAGGGCAGATAATGAAGTCTTTGCTTCAGCCACCCAACACTTTAAGTGTTTAAGCAGACAAGCTTACAACAGGTAAAACCCTTATGATCATCTGAAATGCAATAAATTATGGGCATAAATTATTCAAACCTCATTCAGAACCTTAAAGCAACTTACTGCTATTGTAGATCCATTCTTTCCAACCCCTCCACCAAAGATGACACGGAAGTAATTGAAAAAAGAAAGTGCTGTTCCACACAGTATGCCAAAAACCACAAAGAACTTCAGTTCTAAACCCACCAAAGGGACCTTAGCAGGAGAAAGAAGAGAAAGACATTGAAAGTTAAGGATAACACCTTTTTTTAAAAAGTGGATAAAAAAAAAGCTACTGATGCCTACTAATCAATTGTTTTATTTGAACTTTCACTTTCCTGGGAACAAGCTCAGGACGCCAGTGTTTGGAATTTCTTTCCTTACTTAAAGGCACAATAAATTTCTAATGTTTGACCTTGACATTTGATTGCGTAAGTTTTGGTCTGGAAATTCACCTCAGTCTTACTGTTTGTCCTTACAATGTCCTTCAAATATTTTTACTATTGAGGCAAAAACTTGACACAGACTGCTGCACCACCACAGCATGGGAAGGGGGAGCAGGACAGTTCTTTCTATTACACTGGGTATCACAGCAGGGAGCCACAGGAAACACAAACACCATCTGCCTGTTTTGTGTTGTGGCACATGTTATTTGTATGCTGTATCTTTGCACTTAGAATAGTCTCCAGACACAAATTTTAATAAACAGTTACCTTTCAGAACCTATTGCCATTTCAAGAAAACTTCCAAAGGCTGCAGGGGATTTAAAAAAAAAAAAAAAAAAGTAGTAATAAACTGAAACCATTGACTGTATTTTTGAATATAGATTGTTTTGAGATACAGCAAAAGTAACGCACATTAATACTGTAGAAAAACAATCATAATTAAAGTAGGTGCATTAGACTTTATTTTCCAAGATCAAAATAATCTGTTTGAAAATTGACTATAAAAGCATCTTGCAGGATGGGGAGAGGAAACAAGGTTCAGCTAAACATTTCTTAATTGCTGAGCAAACTCATGAATTATTTTGAATTACTTGGTGGTTTATATTTTGATTAATATGCATTCATTCTCAATAGCACGGAATGGTTTCAGCTCTTCCACATACTGTAACGGAGCAGAACTATACATGTCTGAGTGGAGACCCTAGAAAGGGTGAAGACAGTCTAATACACTTTTGATCCTGTCCACTAAAGTGCACCTCTAAGAATCAGAATAAAAGCCAGAGATAGGGAAATGCTTTTGGACAGAAAACAATTTTTTAAATATAGTTATTCACATTTACATTGGCTCTGCCATAACTATTAAAAACCAGTACCTCTCCATCAGCACGTAAATACAGATTCCTCAGCCAAACCCCCATGGTTTTGGCAGATTAAAGCACTGAATCTTTAAATTTTGAAATAAAACATCCTATAAATCATTTAGCTCAACAAAAATGTTTGTCTTACAATGAAATACACAAAAGAAATAAATAAAACTAGGACAAAACCTATTTGTTAAAACTTAAGTATCTGCAGAGTATTAGTCCCAGATCAGAAGTTTATACATGGCAGATGGGGTCTTTTTTCCTCCATGTAGCTCTAAATTTGTGCACGTTAAGTCACACCATTACACAAAGGTAATTAGAACATAAAAATAACCTACATTTGTGCAATAATCCAGAACAGAACATTAGACAACTAGTAGGTGTTGATGGTACTTGGGCAGGATAGCTTCCAGTGCCATGGGATCTGTACGAGGAACCGAATACTCGGCAGGAACTCGGCACACTCAGGAACACGCTCACCTTGTACTCCCACACTGCTGTCCCACCGTATGCAGAGATCAAGAGCAGCGCTGTTATGGCTATCTGAACTTCAGTTACATCAACTCTATGAAGGGAAAACAGGGAGATTTAGTTAAAGAAAAGATCCTTCTGCTGTTAGTGTAAGGCAGCAGAGGGCAAATTAAAAAAAAAAAAAAGGCAGTGACTTTATATTTTGTCCTTATAAAGACTTGAAACTACATCAATGTATGTAGGTTATGATTTTCCTGGTCTGAGAAAGGTACTGTAAATGGAGGCATACATCTTTGTCTAAGCTATACCCCTTATCTAGAGCAAGCTACATGTTCTTTTAATAGGGGAAAAATCTTTAATGAATACATTGCGAACTATTTGAGAATTCTGTGTAAATTTACAGACTTGTTGATCTATAAGTATCAAATCAAAGTTTAAGTCAGGCTCACAGTAAATGCAATCAAACATTTCCATTAAAAGCATATCATACAAAAACACGGATGGTAAAGAGCAAGCTGGGACAGAAAGAATTTCTTTAATCCGTCATACCACGAAAACTTGACAGATACAGCCTGGAAAACATTAAGGGCAGTATTCTGGGGACTGAGGCAGTGGATAGCTAAGCATTTGCCCTGTTTCAGAGGACATAAAATTGATATCTTGCTTTTTCCCATAAAAACATTTTATAAAGAGACGACCCTGTATGCCCTCCAAACTCTAGGTTCTGTATTCCATGTTTTTTGTTCTCAGACAAGACAGCCAACTCTCTGTTACTGTATTTTATTGATTAAATGTTTTGAGTAGCCCTAAATATATAAAAATAGTGGAGTGAGGGCTCATGAGGAAAAAAAAAATATTAAAAGAAGCCAAATAATCTTAATAAAGTTGTAAAATAAAGAAAGGGTGCACATTTAAGCTACCTTTTATGCTACCAAAGGTCTTGAGACAGGTACCTGATCTTTGTACTGAATTTACCAGCAAACAGTAACAATGAATGTTTAAAATACAGTGTTTCTTTGTTAGGATAAATGTGCTGCTTTAAGGCATTATGACCAAAGTCAGTATGTATCATTACTTTAGCACGTGAAAGGTTTGCATAGGAAACAGTGTCGTTTTAAAGGGAGGCAGGAATCAACTCTTGGCTAATGGAAAACCTTCAACTGATCTTCATAATCACAGTAACATTCAACTCTTCTTTCATTGGAAAGACAGTGGTAAAATGTTGTTTCATCGCAAGGCTCAGACTCTTAGAAGAGCTGAAGTTTAAGCTGCAATCAGATGATACACTGAGGTGCTAGTTCAGCTCGTGAGCCTCGTGTAGGCTGTGAATCTTCTCCCCGTTTCATGAAGTGGCTTGAAGTCGAGTGACAGGGGGAAATGGGACAGTGGTGCTGGGAGCGGGCGTCTCCCTGCCTACAAGGCACGAAGTGTTGCAGCTGCCTAGTCCCTGCTGCAGCTGCACCCAGGACCTGTCAGTTACGCCATGCAGAAGCGCCCACATGCCCAGAGCACGTGTGCGAGCTTGCGCTTCCTGACATTAAAACCGTCACTTCTGAGCAGTACTGCATTTGCTGTTGCTGGTGGCAGGAGGAGGCTTGAACTTAAAGTTGAGTTGTTACACGTGCCAAAATTTAGTACTTAATTTTACAGAGGCTCAGACTGTTGGTGGCAACACCGCCCAAACCAGAGTCTGGAGATTTCAATCAGGCACAGGGGTGTATTCTGCATAACCGGACAGTGGCACAGGACCCAGCTGCTTGGATCCTTCCTGGCCATCAGCACCCTGACCCTCTCAGCTGTCATTTGACTTCTAAAATCAAGTGCTGCTCATTCAGGAACAGCATCAGTGAAAGCTGCTATCCATGCTATCACGTACTGTCATATTTAGAGCAATATACTAACGCTGTCTTTCAGACTGTCACCTCTGTGCTTCAGAGAAACAAAATCTCAAAATCAGAAACTGACCCGTTTTCACTAAACAAAAAGACATTATCTAGGAGAAAAGTTGTGTCTATTTAACATCAAACAGTTAGCATGGAACGCCAGGCCTTCCCGAACTGCTCGTACTATGCACTATCACTACATGTACATAGAAGCTATTAGGTTTTTAATGAAGAAATGTTGTGTGGTATAGGAGTCTCGGTGCCCTCCTGTTGCAGGTAAATCATTCTCACATTTTATGCGCGAACAAAAGGCACAGAAAAGGAGTCACAGATGCAGAATCCCAAAGCTCATGATGCAGCCCACTCCCCCTCAGTGCAGCCGCCTGTCACATACAGAAATTACACCGTTTTGAGCCACCACTCTAAAGCATCTATTTTTATTCACAGCACAGGCTGTCCTTTGAAAAAAGTAGGATGGGTCAGCGGGCAGAGGAGGTACAGTTTGTGTGGTAAAATGCAGCAGCAGCTAATAAAAAACAGCTCTTAGCATTACCACAGGAACAGCTTGCCTTTGATGCAGACAGTATGCTGGGACAGCTGATCACCAGCCTGCGTGCCCAGGGATGCTCACATTTGCTGAACTGCTTCTTGCAGGTCAGAGCTAAGCAGGACAATAAACAGCAATCCCCATGCTATCAGTTCAACTGCAACTGTTGTCTTCTACATGAATGTCATGACTCCTCCTCCTACACTACAGTGAGAACAGAAGAAATTTCTACCAGGTCATGAACAGCATCACAGCAATCTCTAGGACTGTGACCTAAAAGAAAACCTAAAGGACAACAAAGCCAATATGAGCCAGATTAAAAGCAAAGTCCCCACATAAACTTAGGGTAATTCTTCAAGCACTGCCATAGCTCTATGAAACTTTATCAGAGGAGGCAGTGGATACAGAGAGTTCCTTTGAAGGAAGACTGAAGATGTCCTTCTCCTATGAGGACAGGCTGAGTATTGGGGTTGTTCAGCCTGGAGAAGAGAAGGCTCCAGGAAGACCTCATTGTGGCCTTTTAATACATAAAGGGGGCTTATAAGAAAGATGGGGACAAACTTCCTAACAGGGCCTGCTGAGCCAGGACAAGGGATAATGGCTTTAAACTAAAAGCAGGTAGATTTAGACTAGGTGTAAGGAAGAAGTTTTTTTACAATGAGAGTGGTGAAACACTGGCACAGGTTGCCCAGAGAGGTGGTAGATGCCCCACCCCTGGAAACATTCCAGGTCACCTGATCTAGTTGAAGGCCCCCCTGCTTACTACAGGACTAGATGACCTTTAATGGTCCCTTCTAATCCAAAGCATTCTATGTCTATGGAAGGGAAACCCATTAGCAGGGGAATTCCTCTAAAAACACATGTGGTTCAGAGCCCCCTGGGCTGAAACTGTTTTGTGGCTGGGAGATGACAAAGGGAGGTACTGTAGATGCTTACTCTGAACTTACTCCTGCACAGAGCACTTGTTCACACTGCAGGCAAGACCCCCTCTGGCCTGAGCCTGCATGGTGCTTGTACCCTTCCTAGAACAAATCCGCAGACAAAAGAGCCAAACACAAGCAAAGCATATACAGCTAAAATCGGCTGCTAAAAGAGCAAGTCCTCTACTCAGCATTATGCAGAGTTTTAAAGTTCTTTCCAGGTAAAACACAAGTCTGCTAGGCTGGAAGGGAGATGAGGAAGAAGGTAAGAGGAAGAGAGAGCAGGGAAAAATCTAAGAAGAAATGGCAATCAAGAAGCTGTCAGTCTCAGACATTAAGCCACATATACTCCTAAAGATATCTACTTACTTTCCAAACCTGAGTATGCCTGATACATATGTCTGCCAGTGAGCAGAATAGAACATGAACAGTCCCACAAAACAACAGAAAAACAACCAGTCAGGATTTGTTCCTAGTCGGATTGCTATGCAGGATCCAAGGACAACAAAAACTGAAAAGCAGAAATGAACATGTTAGTCATATAACCTCTTTGCTTGCAGTTAAGAGAAATAAATAAATTTTAAAAATAATTACAAGGCATTTTGCATCACTATAAGAAAGTAATCATATGACTGATACTTTACTAAGTAGCTAACCTCAGGAACAGTCCTGGCAGGAGAGACCAAAACAGGATTCCTTTTCTTCCAAGCAAGGGCCCCCACCTTCTAGCCTACAGTGGTTGTGTTCCCTTCTTCTGCATGTCTTTTAGGTCCTTAAAGTCCTTCATTAAGCATCACCTGTACCCTATGGGAAAGCACAGGCTATGTACTTGGAGAACCTCCAAGTGTGCTCTTACAGAATTCTCTGCTCACAACCTAGCTGGCTCAAAGAACACCCTACACATAGATGTACAGCAAGAGCAGAACACGTGTTACCCCGCACCTGCCAAAGGTACTCCTGGTATCTCCTCCCCGATACTGGTCAGAGATGCAAAAGTCAGGGGCTGCCTTGGCTGCAGTGACCAAGAGATGCTGACGTTAGCCTAAAAGAAGGAACCATGCTGACCCTGCTCTAAGCAGGGTGTTGGACTGGATGATCTCCAGAGGTTCTTTCTAACTTCAAATCTGTGATTAATCAGCTCCTCCTGAAAACAGGTAACTTTTTTTAAAACTAGGAAGGATAACAGTATGTTAAGGCTACCTGTGGAAATAGAGTCGCAACCATGATCAAAGAGTTCTCCTAGAGGAGAACTACTGTTTGTTCTTCTGGCTTGCTTCCCATCAATGGCATCCAGAGACTGGTAGATAAAAAGTCCTAGTGCACCCAGGAGGTATGCCCAAAAAGGTGCCTGAAAGAGATTCACATAAAAGGTCAATAGGCAGTTCCCAATGACTGTCATTAAAGGTAAAATACTGTGCTATTTGCCACATTGTGCTATTTGTTACTCAGCTAATGGTCCAACCAAATTCCTTGCACTAGTCTCTATGTGAATTGTAGTACCTACTATAATAAACTACTTCAGATACAACAGTGAAACACAGGTCCTTCTATTTATTAAAAACACAAATGAAAACAAACCAAAGCTTTAACCTCTTCTCTTCTGCATCAGCTGACTTATTTTTCTACCTTAGGCCCACAGTATTCCTGTAATTATTTCTATTCTGTGCTGAAAAATGTTATGAAAAGAAAATTAATCTTTAAAAAATAAAGTAGTAGCAAGGCACTTACTAAAGTTCTCATAAGTCTGTCTGATAGACACTTAGATGATTTGCTCAGATTTACAACATATAGACATAAAACCACATTACATTTTACTAAATAAACACTTCATCTTTTAAGGAAAGATTCTTTCCAACATACAAAAATACAAGACATAAGCACTTTGGACAAGGGTTTGAAGAAGTTAAGTCATTTGCTTAACAACCAAGGAGCAACGATGTGCTTAATAGAGACTATTAGAGTTTCAAAACAAACTGTGATTGAGTTCCATTAACACTGGTGTTGGGTTCCAAGGAACAGCAGTACCTTCCAAAAGCATTAGCTTCTTACACACAGACAGTACGTCTGCCTTTGTCTAGGAATTAGTGTTTAATGAAAATTATTTACAGCACCTTTTCAACAAAATACATAGTAACATTTTTGCTTTAAGTAGCTTCCAGCAGTATCCTTAACAGTTAGAAGCACTGCTCATGAGAGTCAAAGTTAGGTATAAATGCTGGAAAGGCAGCTCGTGGGTTAAAGAGGGGGACAGGCCCAGGCAGTTGCAGAGCTCGGTCCTCTCCTGCTCCCAGGGCAGGGGCAGCTGCTGTGGTTCCACACCTCTGCAATGCTCCTGCAGCACAAACAAGCCAAGATGACTGCGTGCATTTCCCAAGTCCAGCAAAGGCTATTACACAGATTTAGGCAACAGATCAAATCTCAGCGAGATGAGATTTGTCCACACTCACATAAACCCAGCATCACTGCTGGAGAAAAAGGAAAAATGGCAGTTGCCCATCAGTTCATAGGCAGGGACTGGAGAAGGCAGCAATAAGAATAGAGATGAGCTGAGCTGCTCCTCCAGACATTCCATTTTCTCCACATCGTTATACTCACTAAGTTGAGTTAGCAAAAAAAAAAAAGTTATGCCTCCAGTTAGACTTGTAATAAAGCACACCTTCCCCAGGAACCAACACACTTAAGGGAGGCTCAGTTTTGGACAGCTTGTTTTCTGTTACTTAGGAGTTCCTCTTGTATTCAAGGCTAGCTGGCATACTATGTTATCTCTTAGTTTCGTGCTTTTGATACAGAAACAATATTGTCAGCAAATGTGTGATTTTCCTGCTACCCCGCAGCTGGATAATTAATGAAAAATTCCACCTTTTAGAAGTCAAATGGTTGGCTGCTTTGCCCAGCTCTGAAGCAAAAGACAGTTCAAGGACTAGGGACTGCAGCTGTAGGTGAGAAGTCTGGAGTTGTGTGTACATAGAGATCTAGAAAACACTTTAAATTCTTCAAAACTGGCAAGGCCATCTTTTCCCTTAATCCAAGGAAACTAAGCAAAACTAATCAGAGATCAGGTTGGAAGCCTTCAGCACATGAAAAATGATGAGTGAACATTCTCATTTCAATGGACATTTAACATACTGGTAACTGATAACCCCCTCCAAGACAACACTACAGAAATCCAGGTAAAGTGTTGACAACAATACAAGTTTGATGTTTATCAGTGGAATTAGTTGCATTATTTGGGTTTCTTCTCCCTTGTTAGGGCAGTTAAATGAGGGAATTTTGTGTTGGGGGATAGAGTTAAACCAGGGAGTGAGTTCTTAGTCATCTTTTCAAAAAGTTTCTCTATTCTGAAGAAGGGGGAAAGACAGAGCCTGTGGACAACAGGAGGAGCCTACTGCCACGCTGGCTTCATGGATCACTTCAAACCACGTGGAGGAAAAGAGCTCAAGGGCCTCTCCTGGCACAAGCTCACTTGGTCAGGCACTCTGTAGTGAGGCAGTGGCTACCTGCTGTCCCCCGTTCTCACTCCCCACCTTTCCAAAACAGAGGGCTGTCAGCCACTGCTCAGGTATTTCAGGGCATAAAAGCACAGTCAGGACACCGTTGAAGCTAAGGTCATTTTACCTGTGGTAACTTCAGTACCTGGATCACATCACAGTACCCGTACTGGCTTCTGCAGAAAAACTCTGTTGTATGGGGAACAACAGATACTCTTGAAAAAGGCAGCTCCTGACAGAGGCCTATGAATGAAGCATTAGGTGCAGAATGGCCAGGAGAAAAACACTAGTTTCACTGCAGGCCTTTAAAGTACTATTTTAAAGACATTTCCAATTTTATCACTGATATTACTGTGAAGTGCCACAAAGAATGTGTAGCGCTCTACAAAGCACCCTTACTGTGACGTACTTCCACCAAGTTACCATAAAATACCTTGAGATCTACTCAAACTAACCCCTGGACTTTGGCAAGGAAACCAGGCCCCACCTGGCAATTCTGACCAAGCCACCAGCAGTTTATTTGGTTGCATTAGGCTCCCCTCCTTTCACAACCATCTACCTATGACTGAAACAGATTTTAGTTAGCCTTAAAGTCATCAAGTTCACCATGTCATGGACAGAGGTAGACTGTATCCAGTGTTAAATATGCCAGCCAAATTCCTTACCCACTCTGCACTCACACCCCTGCCCTGGTGGGGGGCACATCACCCATTAAGTCAAACACCAGGGCGTGGGCAGTTTCTTATTTAACTGGATCATTTCCGCAATTGACACATCAATTAGGAACAGAAACCTGTTTTGGCACATTTTTATATCATTAGTCATAGTGCTGTGTGGTTGGGATTACCACAACCTTTTGAAATGCAAACTCTGTGAAATACAACCTCAATCCTAACCAAAACAGAAGACTTGCATGTTGGCTACTGCAGTCAGGACGGTTTATGAAAATTTTCAGAACTGACACAACACAATGCAAGAATTCTTGATCAAGGTAAAATTTACCTTACCTCAAAACAAATGTAACACATTAAATTGTAAAAATAAACAAATCAGTCTTCAACTCCAACTTCTCTTACTAAGTCTTTCTGACAAAGAAAAGACTTTTGATCAGTTGCAAGTTATAGTACAGGCAGGGGTGCTGATCTGCTTGAAGGTATGGAGGCTCTACAGAGGGATCTGGACAGGCTGGAGCAATGGGCTGAGGTCAGTTGTATGAGGTTTAACGAGGCCAAGTGCTGGGTCCTGCACTGGGGTCACAACAACCCCAGTCAACTCTCCAGGCTTGGGGAGGAGTGGCTGGAAAGCTGCCCAGCAGAAAAGGGCCTGAGGGTGTTGATCAGTCCTTGAACTTGAGCCTGCAGTGTGCCCAGGTGGCCAAGAAGGCTTATAGTATCCTGGCTCCTACCAGAAATGGCATGGCTAACAGAAGTGATCACCCCCCTGTACTCAGCACTGGTGACACCACACCTCCAGTGTGTGTGTGTGTGTATGTGTGTGTTCAGTTTTGGGGCCACTCACTATAAGGAAGACACTAAGGTGCTGGAGCATGTCCACAGAAGAGCAACTAAGCAGGTCTAAGGAAGAAGTATTACAAGGAGCAGCTGAGGGAACTGGGGTTGTTTAGCCTGGAGAAAAGGAGGCTCGGGAGAGACATCCTTGCTCTCTACAACTACCTGAAAGGAGGCTGTAGTGAGGGGGAGGTCGGTCTGTTCTCATGTGAAAAATGACAGGACAAGAAGAAATGCCTCAGGTTGTGCCAAGGGAGTTTTAAGTTGGATATCAGGAAAAATTTCCTCACAGAAAGTGTTGTCAGGCCCTCAAACAGGATGCCCAGGGATGTGGTAGAGTCACCATCCCTGGAGGTATTTAAAAGTTTACATAGGTGTGGTGATGAGGGAGATGGTTTAGTGGTGACCTGGCAGTGCTGGGTTAACGGTTGGACTTGATGATCTTAACAGTGTCTTCCAGCCAGAACAATTCTATGATTCCATGATTACAACTGCTGATCCAAGTTTGTCTGCATTAGCTCCTGCTGAGAGAAATAAAATAGTCCCCCCAGAGTTCAAAACTTAAGAGTTCTGCTTCTTGACAATCTGGAAAGAGGAGAGTTTATATACTCCTCCTGGTAAGGATCATCTGCACCATTAACACCTTTAGTGGATACATCTGTATCCCCACAGCTGTGCAGAAGGGAGTAAGATCCTTGTAAGACAAAGGGAACAGGTGTCTGAGAGAGCTTAGAAACACAATCTGGTGCATTTTATCCCTAGGCCGTCAGTTCAGATTTAACCCAAAGTGGTAATAACCAAAGGTCACTTGTGATCAACTATACATTTAGCAGATTAAATGAATGCTCTGGTATTTTAACTGGTCAAATACTGTTTTCTGAAGGTGCACAGAGGTTTCCAAAGTTCCTAATAACCACAGATTCTCTCTGCTATCTGCCCGCTCAATACAGCTACAGCTGCCTCCTCCTCTGCCTTTTCACATGCCTGGCTCTCCATCCAGGGATGTCCCCTACTGGCTTCCCACGCTGGACCCAAGCAGTTTGCAAATTAGAGAAGTGGGAGCATTTGAGAATGCTGACATGGATGACACTCACGAGAAAGGTCAGAAGGCTCTCAATAACCATCAGCTTTTCGCTGATGAGGTGTTTATTATCTCTGCCCAAACTTATATCCTGTCCAAGCAAATGTATTATTTGGCTAGAGCTAGATGCTGTTCTCATGATACTAGAGGAGAACACAAACCTGGGGGCAGGGGCGGATGCTTCTCTGCTTCAGTTAAAAAGGTTATCTGAAAGATGATACAGCCCCAGAATCATGTCACACAGATTTGGTACAGCAGGTCTTGTCATCTA